CATCTTGTAAACAACTCGCGCGCTGAGCGAACAGCTTTTTAAACTTGCGCGCAAACGTTCGCGAGCGCTCACTCGCGCAGTGTCGTTCAGAAGGCGAGCGCTCGCGAGCGTTCGGTCTCCTGAACACGCCTCGGGTGCAAAGCAGTCCACGCAGGCAGTAGGCTTTGTGAGTTACGACGGTCGAGAGGTGTGTATACGGTTCAGTGTGTAACGGTTCAGTGTGTAACGGAAGAATACCAGAGTCAACGATATGTCCAGCTTTCGCCGGTGATAAATAAATGATGAGCTGATGAATTGATGTTAAAGACTGCTGTTGGTATAAGCGTTACAATTGTCGTTATAAACATGTGAACCGACTTCCGGCAATGTCCGTGATGTTTACAACCGTTTGCGTTTATCTTCGAGTTTATAAGTTGAATTAATGAAAAACAAAACACGAAGCGAGGTGTGCGTTTTGATAATGCTTAGATGCGCGTTTTTTCGCACTTCTCCTGATCGATCGAGGCGCGCGATGGCGCGATGGCGCGCGAGCGCGCGCCTTAAAACACAAGGACTGGTACCCTAAATAACACTGAGTGGGGGGGCCGGGAGGGTACTGCCGCAACGTAACCTGGGTACGGTCCGGTATACCGGAACGTACCCTGGTACCAGAGCATATAAATCAACGTGATTTATATGCTCTGCTGGTACTATCTAATATGCCGGACCGTACCTCGCCTACTCCACTAACGAGTCTAGGGGTCGCCTACGCCTACTCCCTAACCCTAACCCTAACCATATCAGATAGTTACCAGGGTATGTTCCGGCAGTACCCTGGGGGACATGGACCCTATGAGCGTTATTAAGGAGCCATATATTTAATTACTATAGGACAGTTTTACAGACCTTTCTATGCAATAATTACATATAATATTTATTCACCATATTATCAGCCCATGCAATCGTTAGAGCCTATATACTCCTGTTATAACCATACTCATTTCTTTCACTTCAACATGGGCTCGCATTATTAACCCCAAACATCTCCAACTGACATGCTCTGCTTTATATTATCTTGGTGGTCCCTCCTTTTCTCAGTTGCAGATGACGCTTCACCTTTCACCCGAATCCGTCTTTGCTGTTGCTTGTGCTTTTGTGCTAGAGTCTTTTTAACTCTGGCTCTAATCTTAGCTGGATCCATATTTGATGTGCTGCTAGTGCTTACAGCATCCTTCTCACTACCAGAAAATTGCTGCATATGCGACGGCTCACTGCTAGCCTCATCTCTGAATGGCCGGACAGACTTGTTATGTGTACTTAAATCTTCGGCTTCATCATAAAATTCTCTACTGTCATCGTTTTCATAATGTTCTGAAGATTCATCCAGTGTTGATATCGTCTCATGCGCCTGTTCCTCTTCATTTACACTGCACACTAGTTTTTCATCAGATTCGTTTCCACTTAGTGCCAATTTTTTGGCTCCGTCTGCCAGCTTTGCATCTTCAACAGACAATGTGTGTTCACTAAGAGGTAGTAACCTAGCAAGGCTGACATCACCCTTATGCTCAGCTAAATCTCCTTCCTCGTCTGTTGATGTAGATTCCTGCTCAGAACCGTGTGGATTCACTGCACCGACGTCAGAAAGGTCTAATCCTTTAGTAGCCTACAAAAATAATGTATGATTGAAAATTTAAATCGATGTTTTAAATACATACATACATGTTATATAATAATATAACATTCTTTTATTTCATTGGGACTCACAATTCCTAGCTGTATAGCAAACGTTAAAGAATAGACTAAAGTAACTCACTCAGTGTGTTAGTTCATTTTCGAAAAATAAATATTTATAACTGTAAGATAACTGGAAAACGTTAAAGTTATGTTTATTCTTTGTACGCCCAAGAGGTGGCGCCACTAGTCGAGAAGAAGAGAGAATTATGGCGGGACTATTAGCCTCTACACGCTCCTGTACAAGCGTCTGTGTGATTTAAGTTTATTTGAACAATATAATATGTAACAAGCAAGACAGTCGTTGGAATCTGTATTCGAATGTCTCAAGAACACGAGATATATAACAATAACAAATAAATTTATGAAATATATTTTCACCAACTTTTGTACAAATTGATTATTTTATCAGGAAAATATAATTTAAGTCTTACTTCTTCTATAAAAATGTATTTTACAATTACCTCGTTAAACGATGTCTCAACTTCTTTTGTGAACCCACTAGCTGCAACTTCAACATCTAGAGCACCTTCCCTTCTACAAAAAAACATGTACTTATTGGGTTGTCATATAATCGGATTTAACATGGTTATTATGAATCATAACCAATCAAAATTCATAATAATTATACAGAAACACAAGGGGGCTATTAGTTTGTATTTCTCAAGCCCGGCTGTGTTGGGATCGTTAAAGTAAACACAGCTGGAAATTAAGTTAGTTGATTAGACAATTAAGGCATGTATTGGATCTCACAAATAAGCTTCAGCTTTGAAGACATGTCAAAGTGACATGCGTTAAAAAGGAGAACACTGTGTTGATTATTACAATGAAATAAACAATTGTTAGAAATATGTCAAAAAATGTCTCATATTAAATGATGAGTTAATATGTTAATAGTACCAGTAGCAGTTACATGTTATAAGTACACATTACAAGTTACTGAGTAAGTTATAAGTTACATATAAAAGAGCATACATAAAACTTATGTGTGCAATCATTAACTTGTTTGTCAAAACTTACTCAATATCTGTGAACTTTGGGTAAAGTTCACTTTCATATGAAAATCTTTTCTTAAAGAAAGCTCGAATACAGTTGACATCCCGATCAAAGTACCTATAAATAAATATAATAAATTAGTGGTAAATCAAGTATGATGCATATTCACTGTGGTTAAATAAATAACACAATTAATATATAGTGTTCCTCTCATTTTTACAATTTTCACAGACATAGTATATTTAGTATGTATATGATACGCCAGATGGCACGCACACCACCGCGCGGGAGATCCGATATATGGCTTTTATCGTCATTAAATATAAAGCTTTGTTACTGCATTCTTATGTCTTACAAGCGTGTTCTGTGGCAGTCATAAACCCATTACACGACATTATATGCTCAACGTGTAAAAAAATGATTCGTGTTTTTATTCTGATAAATATTTTGCAGTATTTACCACTCTGCATTTTCGTGTGAAGTTGAAACCATTTGCGGAAAGTCAATCATTGTGATACGGTCCTCTTCGTCCATCATAATGTTAAACTCATTGAAATCTCCATGAATGACACCGTGGTTGGCCAATTTTACTAGCAGAGACATCAGATCATTGTAAGTATTTTCTACATCCTTCACATCATGAACTTGATACCTGTTGATACACAAAGCAAACCGGTAATGAGATGAGGTGGAGTAAATGAACCACCTTATCAACACATACTGTGCAAACTGCTGCTAACAATGGACAAGTGCCGCGGAGCGACAGCGCTCATCTAACGTCTACTGCGGTGACTCTGTGGTGGAGTGGTGGGATTCTAGTAAACCCTGTTAGTCCCAAATGTGTTCACATACACGCCGAAACAGTGGAAGGCATGACCGTATGAGGAACCTTCTCAAAGGAATGTTCGTTG